TTTAATGACTACGGTTGGTCTTAAAGTTACCTGCTGTGTGCTGAGGGAGAGCTGTTTGAACAATAAAACGTTTTACGCTATGCTAACTGGTAGTGTAATAAAATACAGAGTATTAAAAAAAATGAATTTGACGAACTGGTTAATTTCATCATCTTGGGACTAGATGTGAAATAAACACACTAATGAGAACATCGCTGCAAATTCCCATAAACATCTCCAATGACTTCCAGAGTTCTGTGCTTTCTTGTAGGCTGCTGTGATGTGCCTTTACTTGATTTGTACAGAATTACATATACTTATGAAACATTTTTTTAAAATGAATAAATAAATAAAGCAGTAAAGTAGCTGAATAAAAGCCATAATTGCCTTTAGGGCATTATTTACGGTGATTATGTATTCTTCAGCAGCAGGAGGTGGAATTCAGCTGCGTCTCATATCACAGAAAACAATGTTGACTTAAGCTTTACCTGTATATATGTAGATTGTTAGAAACCTGTAGCAGAATCTGTAAAGGTCATTATGTCATTTCGAGAAAGCGGCTCATTGCTGCTAGCAGGCAGAAACATGGTACCCGTAGCCCGAACATACTCTTTCTATCAGAGGCTCTCAATGGAGTTGATGGCTGGCTCCTGCTGCAGGCCACTGCAGACACATGGCACACAACACAGATGGTGAAATAAGGCACCGACAGCCACAGTCAAAACAATTACAACATTTGTGCCATAAGTTATGATTTTTTTTTTTTTTTTTTTTGCAGGCCTCAACGCCGCCGTTCTACATAAGCCACAAGCAGCCGTAATGAGCAGGCAGATAGTTCTACAGGCACACACGCAGATGCAGCGTCTTCATACATCACCACACTAATATTTGTTGATTTAGAAATGCAGACTCGTGAATGACACAGAGCAGGATTCGCTGAATAATCCCCTTTCTGGTGCACAAAGGCATAACTTAAGCTGCTACAGTGAATACTAAGTCTCTCTCCAGCCTGGCATGCGTTGGACTCTTTCACACCCGAGCAGTCCAACTCGCTCAGATCAGCCTTGTCTCTTGACTCGACACAAACACATGTTTTGTGGAGGTACTACTGGAAAGATACAGAGTGCAATCTATCAAAATGGAGCCGGCTGGAAGTCATTCTAATCTCCAGCCGCGACCCACTTACATATTTACGTCACACGGATATGTGCTTTAAATATACATATAGAAAAGCAAACAATCCTTCTGTATTATTTAAGATATAACACAAAGCCCTGGGGCGGACTGTGCTGTGTGTGTGTTTTTTTTTCACTTTACCCAGACAGGAGCTCAGCCATAAATGATTCCCATATCAAGCAGAGATATATGCAGACGGGCAAGGCGACGATATAAATGGATGAAACAACAAAACGTATTCCTCAAAAACACTGACTGACTCCATCAATTGCCAGAAGCTTAAGTGTAATGGAGAAGATAGTCATTTGAAAATGAATCAGCAATTTTTTATTTTTATTTTCTTGCCGTTGTCAAGTTGAAAGAAAAAGGCTTTAAAAACAGGCATTAATCTACCGCAGTAGCTTCAGCTTCAGAGTCTTGAAAATGTCTTGAAAATGTCATGCTGAAATCAGATTGAACTTTGTGGGGTTGACCCATAACCTGAGGATTTGGGGGAATTAATTAGGAATCCTAGTTTGGATGACTGGACATTTAACATCTAAAAGACTGGAGAAAAAAAAAAGAAGACATTTATTCCACACGTGTTTGTGTGTGTTTGCGTGTGTGCGACTGGTCCTTCAAATTACTCCGTGATTAACATCCTACCATGCTTAGTGCTGCGTGTAGCAACCATGGGCAGACCCAGTGGCTCATTATTTTGGTTCCTGTGGCTTAAAGAAAAAAAAAGTTTAATCAGTGGATAGATTGTGGAGTTTCTGTAATGTACATTTTTGACTTAATGAAGTTTGAAAATTGGAAAATGCAAAGAGAAAACTGTGAAACAACACAAGCGCCTGAGCAAAACAGAGACACGCGTGCCTCCGCTGTGTCCACCGTTTCCAAAAGCAAGGAGAGAAAAAAAAACCCACACAGGCGAGGCAACATGATTCAACCTGCTGCAAATGTTTGTTGGGGGAGTAAGGAGGCAGCTTAGCAAAACGATATTTAAGGAGGGAAGTGACGGTGAATCTGAATCACGTAAACTCCTTATTACAAACAAGCTCTTTTATGCAGCAGGTTGGATGAGAACAAATGCATCGCTTTAACGAGGAGAGAAAAAAAAAAGATCTGAGGTGGTTAGATGAGTCACCGTTCACCCTGTTTTGAACCAGTGGTTGACTACATGCGTGGCATGCATGAAAAGAAATTTATTCACCCAAGTGCTTATTTCCTACAGCGAAGGCTTCTGTCAGAGCTGCTCTGGTGACTGGTCTTGGCATGCTTTATGTCCATTTGGTCCCTTAGTAGGCAGGTAAATGCCAGAACTGACAATGCTTGTCGGGGTGAACATATTTCTCGTGCTTTGGGTGTTTCTGGCCTCATAACCGAGGAATACACAAGGTGATAAACCCAAATCTGCAGGACAACCTAAGACCCCCCCCCCCCCCCCATTCATTGCTTTCGAGCACTGAAACCAAACACAGCACTATAGCTTTTCCAATAAAAATGATGCTGACCATCTTTAAGGTTCATATGAACTTCTGGTGGGAAATACTCACAACTCTCCAGCTGAGCTTCAGGTTTCCTTTTTTTTCAGAAACTAAGAGCTCGCTGTTACTCCTCAGGTGGCCCAATGCCCTATTGAGACACTTACTTGTGTGTGGCCTTAATTTTAGCACTTACAGCACACTCCAATAACAGGGTATCTCCAGATTTCACAAACAGAACTACACATGGAGGAACTTGAATTTTAAAACTGTAAAACAACTGTTGCAAATCACTTAGAAAGGAGTACGGTATGTATATATATATTTAAAGTATAGAGGGCAAACTGTATACTCTACAATAACCCAGATTTCTAAATAGTTGGGAACGCTGTTTGAAGAGCAGATGGGAAAAGAAAGGAGGGATTTGGAAATCATCTGAACCCCATTTGACTGGCAATAGTAAAACATGACATGTGAAATATTGAAACTGAGAAATATTAAAAATGGCAGGAGAGATTTCAAATTTCAGATTTAAAAAAAAATGCTGTCGATGAATGTGGTGTTGCTTCATCTACAACGCCAAGTTAAAACTGGAATTTACAAAGAAAAGAAAACTTGTACTGAATGAACAAATACCATCACAATCAAGTTGCGATGGCATGGTTAATGTGCACATCTGGGAATGCATTTTAGCGGTGAATGATACATACAGGTGTTAGAGCAACATATGCCTTCTACGACAGTTCTTGCTTAATTCAGCCACACAATGTCAAACCCCATTCTTCAAATGTAATAGTTGCACAGCTCTGTATTCCAGGTGCTAAACAGGGCGAACTGCATTCCTGTGGCTCACTGAAAACAACTAACAAATTATGAAATGGAAAAATACAACAAAGAAAGAAACACTTTGCTTTCAAAACTATAGTAACTTTAAGAAAAGGGATGACAGAAAAAAAATTAACATTTGCCTGACCCACGTTTCTTGCAACGAGGTAGTTGCATTGTAATGATTTCAAGACATGACATGTTGTCTTTATGCTAAGTATAGGTGTTCCTTTTCGCTTATACTTCAACACTGAGTCAACTTTCTGGTAAGCAGGTTTGTATAAACTACATGCTGGGAAGTACACTTGCAACAACCTGACTCTTTAGCAACCTACTGATCATAAAGAACAACTGCACCAGTGCTTACCAGAAAAGCCTATTTAAGTGTCTACTCATGAAAAATGTTACATCAAACAACAGCACATATGAGGTATCGTATAATGGGAAGGCTCTGCCTATATGTGCATGCAAATTTGTGTTAACCAACCCTGAATCACAGACTCATTCACACTCAGCCCGTGTCCTTCATTTTACAGGCATGCTGTAAAATCGCCAGAAGTGAATGTGGATGAGTGTAGTTGAGAGGGAACCGGTTCAGGTTTAAGTGGACTGCTTTTAGCTGATGCCTGCACCAACAATGCCAGCTCCATGTGCCTATTTCAACCAACACACATGTATTTTCAGCATCAGGGCATTTTCAGCACCTCCCACTGATGGACAGCTCCTATTCAATTTGCTTTCTCTTTGAAGACTGCATTACTAAAGCTACTTAAACCCAACAAGTCCTTCAAGATTTGACAGCTTAGATTTTAAAATGCTGCTCTATACTTTCTCTGACCTGCTCAGGCTGTGTTAGGGGGAGAATCAAAACCTATTTTCTGCTCGAGCTGTATCACTCACGAGTTGCTTGGTTTGAGATACACTGGGTCACCAGTATAAGCACAGGGAAAAGAACAAAAAAACATAAACGAGCATATTCTATACAATAAAGCATGACTCAAACCTCCAACTCAAAGCGCCCTTCGACTGGACCAGCCAGCCCACCTGGCCAATCCGGCGCCCTTTTTGCTGCAAACGTGTATGCTGAGAATACCTGAACTGAATTTGAATTACCATATGACGTCGGCCTTTTTCTAGCTTTAATGTCCTATTGGCAACGGAGACTACACAGACTCACGGTGTCTACCGAGCGCTCAAACACACGATTTGGTGCATCAGTTACCCCCACATCTCCTCAACCCCCTTTCCTATCTATCTTTATCCCTCTCTCTATATAGCCCATATGTCTCACACACACAGACACACACACAAATCCAGAACGCACACAATCGCTCACACCCGAAAGAGAATGCGACAGCTACCGTAACCCATAGAGAAAGAAAGAAAAGAAGGACGTATGAAAGAATATTTAAAAAGTAGCTTTCCTTACATTGAAGTCTGCCAGCAAACCAAATTGCGGGTTAAATGGCGATGGGAGATTAGTCTACATGGGGATGCACAGCACCACATCACACCAAACGGGCTGTATTGGAGTGAATTCAGTGAAATACTTACGCATTTTCTCGAATAAAAGAAATTGAGGTTGATCGAATGAAAAAGCAGCAGGGCCCTGGTCCCCGTTTTCAAGATTTGCAGTACGACCGAGGCACAAATCTCCATGTGAAAGGGATTAGAGGCTGCTGCAGTCCGCGTCTTTTCTCGATCACAAGTCAAAATGTTCGCCAGCGAAAAATGCCAAACATTCAGAAAGAGTTGCGTGGATCTGCGGTGCGGCTACCATTCCCTCGGATGCAACGAGCGCCAATGAGCGAGCGGGGGAAAAACGCTCAAGAGGACCAGCAGTAGCCCCCCTGGACTTGAAGGTATTCCTCTGGACTTGAGAGGAGGAAATCCTGCAGAGTTTTAGATGGTCAAGTCCGAATAGGCCCCCTCTTCCTCTCCAGACGAGTCACAGTCCAAAACTGACTCCCACCGGTGGTTTCCTCTTTGAAAATCGCCAAACCAAATTCGACCAAAAGAGAGAGAGGGGGGGGGGGGGAAGGGGGGAAACGCACAAAAGAGAGAGAGAGAGAGAGAGAGAGAGAGAGAGAGAAAAAAAAGAAAAAAGTGGACTGATTCTTACAGATATGCCTGTTTGGCTGTGAATTTTTAATAAAGATGAACAAAACCAGTGGAAACACCTGACAGTTAACAATTACCCATTTAAAGCGTTGCTGATAAGGTCAGCGCAGAACGAACGGGGTGCAGAACCGTCCTACAAAAAAAAAAGAAAAAAGAAAACCTGAGGACGCCTATTGGATAAAATTAAGGATATCCGTCCCACCGCAACCATCACATGCGTCGCATCAGGACAAATGGGTTGTCATAGGTTCCTCTAAGAGCATATGGCATACAGTATTCTCTATTAAGTCAAATGGGAAGATTCTACAGGGTGCTATTTCCCCCTCCCCACATACACACACACAGCAACCCGGCGCATTGATTACATAAGCGCAGCTATTAGTAATAATTCCGCTTGTCAGGGAGCATGTGTCCGATCCGGGTGGTGAGACAGCACCAACATCCTCCGTGTGTTGCAAATAAAGCGCCTTTTTTTTTCTTGCCCACCGTCTCCTAATGGTCCCCCCGCTCGCTGCAGTCCATGACTGGAATAGTGAGCACGTTGAGATCACGGTCTCCAGGCACAGATCTGGCTCGCGCGCGTGCGTGTGAGCGAATCACGTGTGTGCGCGTGTAGCTAGGCTACTAAGTGTATGCAGGTGCGGGCACGTGTGGGCGAGAGCGTGTTCCCGAAAATCGCCTAGGGACCACTTTAACTTTGACCACTTTGCCTGCGCGTCCATCTGCCCATTTAAATCACACAGCGGTCGTTAATTATCAGGGATCAATAGCATTAACGCAAGCCCAGGTCTAATGTCTCCGTGTACGTGTGTGTGTGTGTGTGTGTGTGTGCGTCGGTACGCGCGCACGTGTGATTCAGTTGTTGATGAGGTAGCCTATGGTTGCCACCTACAGGCGTTATGCTCTATTCAGTCATCCAAAACGGTCTGCATCCACAAATAAACCCACATTCAACCGTTCAACATGTGCACATCCTACCAGCTTTCTTCCACATAAAAAGTGCAGAAAGAATCTGAATTGACCACCATGTTAAAGTCAGTACACATATCTACACACACACATATATATCTTTTCATCATTCCCATCAATGTCATCTTCTTACTGATTTACTGAGTCCTAACTGCCGATAGTGATAAGATGAAATATAGGCTAGGATAGTAGGCGAGGAGCTTTAGTGACTTTCAGACCTACAGACAGACAGAAGTGAGTGTGGTTTCATTTGATCTGAGATGAACCGCCTGTCTCATTAGATGACATAATGAACCACAAGTCAGCTACGTGACAGAGCGGCTCCTGGTCACTGAAGCCAGGCTGTTTTATGAGATTGAGAAAGACAGGGAGAGAGAGAGAGAGGGAGAAAGAACAAAGATGAATATAAATTAGTCATAATGGTATTGTATTACATGTTGTTTTGATCACACAACAAATCGAATGAGAGCTGTGAGAGAATCTATGTTTAAAGTAAATAGTGACAGCTTATCTACAGAGAGGTGGTGGTGGTGGTTGTGGGGGAAAAACATGGTTGCATTTTTAAAGAAACACAAAACAGTGACACTTTCATAAAGCATAACTGAACGGCTTGATGGGTATGAAAATGAGGTGAATTGTGTGCTACGGTCTTCACTGTCAGCACATCAAAAGAGTAACTAAAAAGGATTTTGGACTGGTATTTTAGGCATTGCTCTCAACTGCTATTATACAAGTCACAGTTGCACTCTATGAGTTCAGCTTCCTTATTGATAAATACTCAGTTCTTTATTGATTAATCAAACCACTTGTCCAGTTCAAACCTGAACATAATGATTTCGATTCTTGAAAATATTTTTAAAAAATCCAGTCAGAGCAGGTGAACTGCTTGCATTTCTGCAATATCGTCATTAAGGTTCTGTGATGGTGTGTTAGCGCTTGTGAAGAAAAATAAACTGTTAGATGAACCAAGAAATTAGACACATTAAAAGTTTGAGCTGATAATGGTGCTATAATCAGATTGGGGTATTGGACATTTCTGCACCAGAGTATATGGCGATCCATCCAACAGCTGCTGATGCAGTCCATCCTGCACTGTAACACTGCGTGCTGCTACAGGAAAAGACAGTGAATCACCAAAGTCAGATCAATCTATCATCTTTGGAACCTCAATATCTGTAAAATATTCATGACAGTCCATTAAATGTTAAGATGTTTCAGTCTAAATGTTGGACTAACCAGCATAACAAGCAATATTGCCATTCTTTGAGCTTCACCAGTAAGACTTATGTTTTTCTATCCCCTTCATCTCAAGGTGATAGCACATAGCACCACATATTTGATTTGGCAAATTTTTAACTACGTGCCCTTCCTGAAGGAACCTTAAAGGGATTTGTGTTTTCTCTTAGGATTGAGCCTGGGAACCTGCACTTTTAAGCCAAATTTGTAAACCACTACACTATAAAATATTACACTAGTAGGATATTAATCTATTAATCCAGTAAATATTTAACCAGTTCTGCCCAAGGGAATATATCTTTTGTACAAATGTTGTTCTCTCTGTTTTTTGTTTTTTTTTACTCTTACAGTTTATGCCAGTGATAACCGAGTCATTTCATAACACTGGATCATAGTACCCAGCACCTTATTCATACATCTTGTTGGATCCATGTTTTTTATAACCTTTGGAATCTTGTAATTTAGCTAATTTGTCATGTACTAGTTGTGTTAGCTAAATCATACTACATCTTTTATTTCTTATGTGACTGAAAAGGGCTGGAAACAATTATCTAGCAGCCATCAGTGTACACGGTAACCATGAATGAATGTGTCAGACATAATTAGCCACAGTAAGTCTTAATTTAGAAAACAATTTAAAATTACTGGTTCCATATGCGCTATTTTTGAATCTGTTAACATCTATCTGACTTTAGTCGGTGAACCAGAAACATTTTCAGCACTCTCATAAAACATTTTAGTTTCCACATCTGTGAAAGTCAGAACTTGCCTCTTCATGCATAACTAAAACGGTAGCTTGTTAGAACAATTTCACTTTGATTAAACATAATCCTGTTCTGAGGAGCTAAATTAGTGGGACTCTTACCTTAGTTCATTTTCATAGCCTCATGTAAAGTCAGATCCAGGTGCACAAAACTGGACCTTTTAGTTTCCCATTACATATACTGAGCCACAATTGCGACTTACTTTAGTATAATTCTCCTACACAGCACTGCAGTAATACCAAACTGGCAACAATCATAAAACTCAGAGACGTTTCAGTCTTCTAACTAAAGATGCATTCAGAAATATTTTCTGTTATCAGCATTTTGTTCACGCTTTGATGAAATATGAATTTTAATTCCTTGAGCTCTCTTGAGCAGAAAAAATTAAAAATAAAGGTGGAGGGAACTGGGGTGGGGAGGTGGGGTGCACAACCTTTGTTGCTAAAAACAAAACCTCAGCAGATCTGTACAATCAAATCAATGTCAACCACATGCTGCCTTAACTATGTACTCCCTCATTAGAATGTTTTTCATACAAGGACAATATAAATATACTGTATGTCTTATTTAAATCTGAACAACAGCAATACTTAGTGTCAGTGCCAAAGACTTTCAGCCCACAAATGGCTTCTGGGTGGTAAATCAACATACTGCGTTAGAAGCCTATTTGACAGTTTGACAGCTTCTCTTACTTCTATTTTCCATGCAAAAGGCATGGTTGGAGACTTCTGAGACCAGGTGTATATGCCTTTATATTTTTCTGAAGGATTTAAAGAAATGTAAATCTGTCATCCTTCTTTTAGCCTTTTTTCAGACAAACTAATCAGCCTAAAACAGCTGGGATACTATATGTCAGTACATGTAATTTGAGCGTTCTATAATCTGTAGCTTTCAAAATGTAACATATTCATTCCAAAAGGGCTCTTACTTACACAATATCACAATAGGTATCATTTTTCTGGCATTTGAAACAGTATTAATGTAAAGTACAACCCTGTCTCTCATATAAATATAACTTCTTTGCAGCTAATTATCTAATTATTTCTATGAAAATAATTATCAAACTTTCCATAATTATGTATTGGACACTTTGATAATTGCATCCATATGAAAAACGAAGTCTTTATGCAACTCTCTGCAGTTCTATGAAAAACACACCAAAGCTGCTCCCGTAAGAGTTCAGAGGGTAAGTACAACCGAGTGCTGCTAATCAAATGCTCTTGATTAAGTGATCATCAGCTAGTGTGATCGCCACTAAAAAAGCAGAAGTTTTGGCAGTTTGCTGGTCTGGAGCATTCGGGTATATGTTAATACAGTGCCATAATCTTTCCAGGCAGGAATTAACGATCCAGCAAATTCAAACCAAGGTCGGACCGTCAGTGCTCGGAGAAGCTGCAAAAAACCCAAAAGCTACAAGTCACACTTTATAAGCCTCAGTTAGCATGTTAAATGTCATGACAGTCCAGTTGGAAAAAAGAAGCTCTCATCTGCCTCTCACCTTATGGCAGCTAACAACCCTGATTTCAGAAAGAAGAAAATAGATGAAGTATGATTTGTTTCTCTCTGAAGAGAAAATGGCAGCACAGTGTAGGATTGTAATGTTGCATCAGAATAAAACACAAGACTTCTGGAGCAATGTCATTTAGACCGATGAGATCAAAGTGGAGATGTTTGGTCATAATGCATAGGGTCACATCTGATGAAAATCAAAGTTTCTCAGCAAAAATAGCACCTGTCAACCATGGTGGTGGAGAGGTAATGCTTTGGGATGGTTTTCAGTCTTCCATGAATCCCTCTGTATTCCAAAGTATTCAAATGTGAAGCCACGGATCTGACAGCTGAAGCTTGGTCAAAAATGTGCCATGCAGCAGGACAACAATCAAGCACAGCAGCAAATCAGTACTGAAAAATAAAAGAATATAGTTGTTGCAATAGCACCAGTCAAAGTCCAATCCTCAACCCAGTTGACAGGCTATGGCAGAACCTTAAGAGAACTGTGTATGAATGAATGCATAGAAATCTAAATGGACTGAATCAAAATTGTAAAGAAGACGACTCCAAAATTCCTCCACACTGATGTGAGAGACTAATAAATCATACAGAAAATGATTGCTTAAAATGATTGGTGCTAAAGGTGGTTCTAAAAGCTTTTGAATAAATAGGCATTGCACAGAGTCCCATTAAATACTTACATTCAGGTATTTGACAAGTTGTAATGTGCAGTTTCTTTCAACTAAAATATCTGATTATACAGTATATCTTCCTTCGGTGCCTTTTTATGGACCTTTTTAGTCAGTCACAGCACTTGGTTAAAGTCATGGAAAGCTCTTGTCTAACACAGAAAAAGATGTGTGACACATATTTTAAATGTGGAGCTTCATCCAGTAATAAATAAATAAAAATTGCTTCTGAAGGTAATCCTGACAGCCCTTTTGCTACAAACACATAATTGAGAGAACAATTTAGTTGAATGAAATTTCCGAGTTTCTGCTTGAGATATGATGAAACGATAAAGGACAGTAAGAATCTAAATGTGCTTCGTAGAGCTTCACAGAGACTTTTTCTTTCTTTCTTTTTTGGGGGAAGAGAAAGAGGATACTGCTC